GCAGCTTTGGGGCTGGCGGTGGGGGAAAGCCGGGCTTCCCCCACTGCCAGCCCCGGGGAGCAGCGGGAAGGCTGCAGGGGAAGCCCGTAGCTCTACAGAGACTTTAGGCCAGACCGCTGGCCATTTAAGGATCTGAAGTGCTCTCAAGGGGGTGCAGCCTAGAAGAGGTACCATATTTTTCGCTCCATAAGAGACATTTTCCCCCTCTTAAAATCTAAGGGGAAATGTCTGTGCGACTTATGGAGCGAATGTGTGGTCCCTGGGTCTAGCTGTTGATGTGCACCTGACTAGGGCAAACCTTATGGACCTGCTTTCAGCAAGCCATCTTATATGCATAACAAGGAAACTCATGGCTATGTATTCATTGTTCTTGACTACTGGCTTCCAATTGGGTTGTGATAAATGAGCTTTGTTGAGTTGCTGCTTGTACTGGCCTTCCACATGCAGAAGGTCCTAAATTCAATCCTTGGCACCTCTGGTTTAAAAGATCAGATAGCAGCGAATGGACAAAGATCTCCACCTGAGAGCCTGAAGAGCCACTGCCAGTCAAAGGGGTGAATAGCTTGAGCTAGTCTAAGGCAGCTTCCTGTGCTCTGTTGTTGTTTGAATCCCATTCAGCTCCACACTGTTGAAAGGTAAAACAAACAAACAAGGAAAATTATAATGAATAGTAAAAGCCTTGGCATATATTTACCTTTCATTTGAAGCCTACTTGGTTTGGGATTCTGCCTGTTCTGTGGCTTGAGGGATTGGTATGAAGAAAACCTTGAAAGAGAGGGAGAAACAGCTACACAGACAAAATCTCAGAGTCATCTGCAGTAGCAAGGTCCTTATTGTTTTGGTAAGGGCAAGATTTAAAAGGGGGGACAGTGAAAAATATAGTTTCCTGTTGTTAGATTCATCCTTTGAACATCGTACTTTGGGTTGCATTTAATAGCAGCATTTCTCCATCATCTTCTCTGTTCCCACTCACTCAAAATGCAAGTAGCTAAGTGTGCAGCAGAAGTACCTCCCCCAAAAATACTTAGTTTGGGGGGGGAGGGTTCAATAAACAACCCAGTGAAGAGGGCTGAGTTTGCTCAGTTGCCATGGATTTCTGATTGTTGATAGTACATATAGTACATATCCAATATCTCATCTATGCTGAGTAAGAAGGAGGCATCACTAGAGAGGAATCTGTTTGATAGTAATCTAATGATCAGGTGAATATTGAATAAAGTTTGGATTGGAAGCCACCCTTACCAACTTTCTTTCGTAAGTGGTTATGATTCAGTTCCCAGGAAAGCTGTCTTCACAAGTCAGGGATCAGGCAGTCACACAGAGACTTGAAGATTTGTAAAACTGCCAAATTTAGGAATGCTCCTGTTCAGGGTTTTAGCCTGCTAGCCATGTTCTTTTCCAGGATAGTCCATTGTATCCTCTCTTCTCCCTAGAAGATCAGCTTAGCAGTTCTTTCCCCACTCATGTCCTTCCACGATGAGCTTGCTCTAGGGCAGCTTTCTATGCTGGCTGGGGCTGATAGGAGATGTCGTCCAAAAGAGCTGGAGGGCTCCAGGTTGTCAAAGGCTGTTCTAGGTCTACACCAGGCAAATCCAAAGTCTGTTTCGGGGGCCTAATCCGGCCCACCAGTCAGTTTGATCCAGCCCCTGTGGCAGTTTGTTTCCTGGGGTAAAATCCTAAAAAACCCCTCAACTTCAACCCTAAAAAAGGTCAACAACCAATGGTTGGTCCATTGGTTGGCCCTCACAGCCCTTCACTTCATCAAATCTGGCCCTCTTTGAAAAAAGTTTGGACACCACTGTACACCGATTTCACTGAAAAATTAGTCTCACGTGGAGCCTCAAAAGTTGCTGGGGTTTGTTTTTTTTCCTTTAAAGGAAAGGTGATAGGTCTTATTCCTCCTGGGGTCCCATGTAGCTTGCATTAATTCTTGCCCTCCACCAGCTTCCTCTCTGAGCGAGGAGCCATTTCCTCTGCTGGTGACAAGGGGGCAGTTTGTGCAGAAACCTTGGGAGACATGGAAGGAAGCAGCCAACACAAACTCTTTCCCTCAGATCATTGGAACGTCAGCTGCAGCGCTAGCCACCTTTCGGCCGGGTGAGGGCAGGAGCCCTCTTCTCAAAGGTAAAAGTAATAAAAGGAGACTTAATATACATCATTTGGGTTAGATGAGGAATGACATTGCTACTAAAGATCTTTCAGATTCCCGCCAAGCCCACATAGCATTCAAATCACTTCCATGTGGGGGCCAATCTCCATCGCTACCCGCTGTTAAAACTCTTCTTCCTCTTTCTTCATGGTGTGTTTTTCCCCCTCCCCCTGCTCCCGTTTCAGCTCAGGAAATTCCAATCAAATCCAGCCGAGGAGTAGCTCTCTTCATTCCTTCGGAGGCAGGAAAAGGCCGAGGTCTTTAATTTTTATTAATGGCGATTGTGGTTCAATTAGTCCACAGCACTTTTGGTGTTCTGTGTCATTAAACCTGTCAGAAAATAAACTGTCCTTTGCTTCATACAGGCCTCATTTGAAGCCTGTGCCTCGGAAAATGTCGCAAGAGTGGAAGGCAGTATTTATAGAAGACCCTTTAATTTTACACAAGTGGGCACTTTAGCAAGCGTCTGGCTTTACTGAGCATCATAAGCAGTCAAGGTTACTCATAAGTACTTGACCAAACAAACTCCTGTTGACGTTTTAAGAAGCACCACAGCGGAGAGTTACTAGCTCTGGCGATACTCCAAGTGAGGGAATTGTGTCTCTGACATAGTCATTTTTCAAGTCGCCAAACACAACAGGGTTTCTTCACACCCCCTCTTCAAGCCAGAGGGTTTCAAAGGCAGCACAGTGAGGCCTTGGCTTTGGAATCAGAGACGCTCTCAAGAGCCAATTCCCAAGCGCACACATTTTTTGCTGGAGGAAATCCTGCTCAGTCGAAAGACGTGATAATAACCCTCAGCTTGGTCATCCCATCCGCCCCACTGTTGCTTCATTATGATCTCATTAAAGGGTAGGTGGTGGTGGTGGATGAATCTGTAAGGAGCGTTCTAGAGTGGGTGTCATTTACCGTACTTCAGAGGCATATTTGCCGTGGCCGGCATAACAGCTAAACCTGTTCCTGGAAATACTAAGAGATAGCTTACTTGCTCAATTTTGGTAACCTCAAAATTGAACTGCTGTAATGCACTCTGTGTGGGGCTACACTTAAGGCTGGTTTGGAAGTTGCAGCTGGGGTCGAACCCAGCGGCTACAATGCTGAGCAGGGTATCTAGCCATGCACTTATAGCTCCTGTGCTGGAGGGGCTGAGCAGACTGCCAGTTTGCTACCAAGCCAGTTGTAAGAAGTCCTTGATAGCAGATAGCAGATCTTCAACCTTGGGTCCGCAGATGTTGTTGGACCACAATTCCTGTCATCCCCTGCCATCTAAGCTCAAGGTCAGGAGAGTTGTATTTCAGGAACAAATGGGGGAACCAAGGTTGAAAAGCACTGCACTTGGGACCAAGTTACCTGAAATAGTGTCTCTCCCCCCCCCCTTCCCCTTACAGATCTGTGAGTTCATTTAAAATAATCAGAGAATGCCATGCTGATCAGAGAAGCATCTGGTAGAAAGACATTGGTAGGCATTCTCTGCAGAGGTCCCTACCTTATGGAATGAAGAGGGCCCTGTGATATTGTCTTGTGAACCGCTCTGAGATCTTTCAATGAAGGGCAGTATAGAAATCTAATAAATAAACAAATAAAATAAAAGTAGGATGGGCATCCACGGTGGTTTGTTTCTACGCAATGTCAGGTTTTTGTTTTTGTTAGTTATGCAGCCCTGTGGGTACTTTACAACGGGGCTCTTATATTGCTGTTTTGTAAAACATGGCTAAAAATAACTTTAGCTGTGTACACACCATACATTTAAAGCACATTTCTCGCCCCCAGAGAATCTTGGGAACTGTAGAGAGCTAGAATTCCCAGCACCTCTAGCAAACTACCGTTCCCAGGATTATTTGATTTAAATGTATGGTGTGTACTCAGCCTGTGAGTTGTGGTTTGTTCTACTGAAAAGCAACCTAGGAATGTTTTTGAATGAATAAATATGTACTTCGGCTGTTTTTGAAACAAGTGGCCTGATCTAAAAGACATGGTTGCATGGATTCTTCCCTAAGGCCTCAGGAGTCAGCTATGCATTCACGATGTATCCCCACTAGGGTAATCTGCTCACACTGTTCCTTGCAGTGGCCTGATACAAAGGAGAATTAGGGAGGGGACAGTCTGTCCATGTTCAACAGATGTATAAAACGGGGTTGGCAGGTACCACATGTCATGCTAGCTGAAATTCCCACTTGATACAGGAATGCAGTTGCCCTTCTGTATCCTGCCTCCATTTGTCTGCACAGCAGATGGGGTGTTCTTGTCAGCAATGTGAAGGGCACATTCTAGGAGAGGCAACAACTGATACAGGGTCTTCTATGTGGAAGAGCATGGATAGAAAGGCCTCAGTAAAATAATTTGGCAGCATCAAGAACCAGTGGCTACAAAGGAGGAGAATTGGGGTGTTGGGGGAGTGGGAAATTCAGGAGGAGGTAGCAGAGGGAAAACACTGGGGAATTTTGCTCAGGGGCAGGGAACCTTTTTGAGCCAGAGAGCCACAGGCAGGGCCAGAACCAAAAGTGGGCAGAGAAAGAAATGTGGACTTTTGGACAAGCTGACCTCTTCTACACAGGATTTCATGCAGACACCTTTCTTTCATCCATCAAGGTTAGCAAGAAGCATATCAAATCTCAAGGGCACATTCCAGCCAGGCAAAAACACTCAGGGAGGGTGCACAGCAGGGCTAGTGGCTTGGGAGGGTGTTTGGCCCAGTGGGCCGTAGTTGGTTCCAAGGCCTGAGGTTCCCCATCCCTGCTCTAGCAAAATCTCTCTCAGACACATACACTTGCTTTGTTTTTGCTAAAAATACCCAAGGAACAGCTTAGAGATCTTCTCAAAAGGTGATTTTGCTGTCACATTTTGTTTGCAGAGAGACTACCAACAAAGCCACGATGCTCCATGAAGTAACCCTGTGGCTGTTGCTGGTGGTTGGCATCTCCACGGTGACTGGAGGGGGAGCTGGAGGTGGTTATGGGCAGATCAAATACATGCAGCCTGTGGTGAAAGGACCTCTCGGCCCTCCATTTCGGGAAGGCAAAGGGCAGTACATAGGTAAGTAGCCTTCGGGTGCACAGAGTCCGGAGGAGGCAGAAGTGGGGGTGGGGTGGGGGTTGTAGAGTTTTATCTTGAAGGAACAACAACTCCCAGGCCCAGGCCTCTTACTGTTTTTACCTACTTAAAATGTTCAGATTACTTTTACAGTGGTACCTCGGGTTAAGTACTTAATTCGTTCCAGAGGTCCGTTCTTAACCTGAAACTGTTCTTAACCTGAAGCACCACTTTAGCTAATGGGGCCTCCCGCTGCCGCCGCTGCATGATTTCTGTTCTCATCCTGAAGCAAAGTTCTTAACCCGAGGTACTATTTCTGGGTTAGCGGAGTCTGGAACCTGAAGTGTCTGTAACCCGAGGTACAATTGTATTCTTCTTGCCAGTAGCCCTGAGAACTTGGCTATAGGTTGGCATATAACTGATAATTTTTTTTAAATTGTTGCCTTCATCTTTCCATGTTTAATGTTAGCTTCACACCTCCTCTGCCTAGACCCCACAGTAATTATGGTGATTCCATCCCTGCCCTTTTCTCCTACAAGTAGAAACCATAGTTAACGGAGAAGATGTTTAAGTTCTAAGTGGTAGTTGCTAGGAGAAAGGAGGACATCATGCTGTGCCTTCCAGTGCTGGTTGCTAGGTGATGAAGAGATAGTGGGGATATGTGCTGACATATCAATCTATTCTAGGACCTTTCTTGGTATCGGTGTCAAGCTAATCATTTGGGAGTTTCCTGGGTCTACCCCCCAACCCTTTTTGAAGGTGGGGTAAAAAGAAGATTCAGGAAACTACCGACCAGTCAGCTTGAGGGAACCACAAGGGAGCAAGGCCTTTTCTGTGGTGGCTCAACACAGTGGAGCTGGGGTTGGCTTCTGCCTTTTTGTAAAGCCTTGAAGTCTGATTTGCGTTGATTGGCCCTTCCCCTGTGTAGTTTATGTTTCACTCATTGAAAGTAAGTTGGTATATCATTATACTACTGGAATCGTGAGTCTGTTTTTATTTCTTTACATTTATTTTTATACTTTCTCTATATGTAAATACATACATATACAGTACGTGTGTGTGTGTGTGTGGTGTGGTGTGTGTGGTGTGGTGTGTTCTTTTTTCTTGGTATTATTGATACTGATTGTTTTTTGCATGTACTTTTTATTGTTGAAAGATTATTTGGATGGGATTTCCCCAGAAAAGCAGCATACAGATATCTAAAAATAAAAAAGCTGATGTAAAACAGATATAAGTTCACAGTGCAGCTGTGCACATAGAGGTTAGCTCTGCTCCCTTCAGATGATGGAACAACAGTTGTGGCTGTTGCTAGGCATGTGTGCGCACACACACATTCAGCCTGAGGCTTGTCAGATCTCAGGACATGCTGAACCTTATTGCTTTCCCTGGAAAAGCTTGGGTTCTCAGATCAGTTCCCTTAGTATTTACTGTGGTTACATGGCAGTGGCATCACAACCCTGCTAATAGACAAAGCTGACTGGAGAGTGCAGTGGTTGGAGTGCTGGACTGGGAAGGCATGGGTTTAGACCTGCCCCCACCCCCCATGTATTCCCCCCATGTATTCTGGACAAGACACCACCTTTGAGTCTATTGTTGTTGAGAGTGTAGGTGCTGTATTATGGGACCAGGGTGTGATATTGGCATTTTCTGTGACAGGAGATGTAATTATCTTTTTTATTATTTCCCCCCTTCTTATAATAAGAAGCTAGCTGAGTAAGTGGGTTCCAATTTCTGCAGTGTAGCTGGGAAGAATATTTTAATTTGCTTCCCTGTTCTGACCTCCCCCCCGCACCCCGGCCTTGCTTCAGTGTATGAGCTACAAAAGGGACTCTTGTGTATTTTGCCTCAAACTGCAAAATAACTGCGGCAGGGCAGCACGCAGGTCTGAAACGCTGGTGTGGGCCAGCAAAGGAGATACGCTGTAGAATATATGGTGCCCAGTAAAACAATTCACCTTTTGTTTTGCCTAGAGGTGGAATACGACTCCCAGGAGCCTTTGCACTTCTGCTGGCTCAAGTGGGTTTGCATTGGCGGGGGAGCCTAGGAATATGTCTCTGTTTGAGTGCTTCCTTTGATTGGCTTGCCATCGTGTTCATGCAGGTGTTGGTTTGGAGAGCGAGACCATTGGACAGGAAGCCTGGTGTGCTTTTCAGCTGAGGAAAGGCAGGCAATCAAGGCAGGCCACCCAGAGAGGAGAGGAAACTGGGGCCCAGGCTGGCAGGACATTGTTTCCTGCTGCAGTAGCCTGAGTTTTTGGGTTTTTCCTTCCCTCTGGGGTACCTGCTGGAGACAGCCACAGCTAAAGGCAGGATGTTGAGTGGAATGGATGTGCCATAACAACGTCCCCTTCAGGAAGACGGAGGATGCATACACATGATGTTAGCACAATACATGTATATCCCACAGTTTCTTAGGAAATACTGCATTTTGATACATTTTCTCCCAAGCCAGCTTTGATCCGAATTGAGAAGAACAGCCAAGATGCACTTTAAGCTGATAATGTGTACACAGCCAGAGTATAAATTGGCATGCTGTTTCATTTGGCTAGTGACTTTAGATGGGGTAGTTGTATTTTGCTTGGTGGAGGGAGGCTCCCTCACTCTTTTATTTTCTTGTATTGCCTTCCTCAGTAGCCTGTGGGTTGGTTTGTTGGTTTGGTTTTGATGGGGTAATTTATATCGAACTTCATCATTTATGGCAGGGGTAGCAATCATGGTGCCCTCCAGATTTAGTGCCAGTTCCCATCTACCTCAGCAAGTGTGGCCAAACATCAGGGATGACTGGAGTTGTGGTCTAAATATATATGTGGAGCACTTGATTCCCACTGTGCCCCAGTTCTCTGTTTGTGCCGTGCTGTTTCAGGATTAGCAGTCAATGATCAACACAGGAGGATACAAAAAGCCCAAGACATTTTGCTGCCTGAGGCAGAACAGTAAATTGCACCATTCCCCTCCCCTCCCCCCGAAGTGTGCATTATGTATGTGTTATTTTACCACCTGAGGCAGAAAAATCCCATGAGTATCTCTCTCTGGGAGATAAATTCCAATAATAATAAAACAAGAAACCAACTGCTGCCCTTTTGTAACAAGGGACTGAGGCATCAGCCTCACTCTACCTAAAGTAAGGGCAGACCCTAGAGGAGGGGCTGAAATATAGGTGTGGCTGCCTTGTTCCATTTGGCTAGTGAATCATCAGTTTTGTGATCACACAGTGGCCTATTCAGCCATGTCTCCCACCCAAGGGCCACATCCCATATTGCACAGGAAGACTTCCCCAGAATAGAAGAGAGCTTGGCTCAGGCACTTGGCAGGCAGCAACTGTCTTCCCATCCTAAAGTAAGGTGTCAGACCTTCAGCTGGGCGACATATCACACCCAGTCTGTTTTTAAAACATGTTATTCATTTAGTTTTCTTTTAAGATGTGCGAAAATCAGTATTTTCACAGGAAAGGGCTGTAGCTCAGTAGTAGATGCCTTATGAGGAACGGCTAAGGGAGCTGGGCATGTTTAGCCTGGAGAAGAGGAGGTTAAGGGGTGATATGATAGCCATGTTCAAATATATAAAAGGATGTCACATAGAGGAGGGAGAAAGGCTGTTTTCTGCTGCTCCAGAGAAGCGGACACGGAGCAATGGATCCAAACTACAAGAAAGAAGATTCCACCTAAACATTAGGAAGAACTTCCTGACAGTAAGAGCTGTTCGACAGTGGAATTTGCTGCCAAGGAGTGTGGTGGAGTCTCCTTCTTTGGAGGTCTTTAAGCAGAGGCTTGACAACCATATGTCAGGAGTGCTCTGATGGTGTTTCCTGCTTGGCAGGGGGTTGGACTCGATGGCCCTTGTGGTCTCTTCCAACTCTATGATTCTATGATTCTATGACTGCATGACTTGTGTGCAGAGGGTCCTAGACTTCATCCCTGGAATCTCTAGACAGGGCAAGGAAACATTCTTTCCTGAAACCCTGAGCAGCCACTGCCAGTTGGTAAGGGTGGGGGTGATTCTGTTAGCATTCAAAGCTGGATTTATCAAAGCAGTATGAGACCCAAAACATAGGCATCCTTCAAAATTCACACTTACCCAGATTTTGCAGTGCAATTCTCCAACAAACAATCTGTGAGCTATGATAACAGATGTTCTTCAGACCTTCTCAGGTGATTCACCCAAACCTTGGGAAATTTACTATTAGAGTTACAGAAGCACACAAGCAGGAAACACAAGCCTGAGAAGGGTACTGACATTTAGGCCACTGCATCCCTTTGCCCCCTCAGGATGAAGGTGAATTACAGTTATTAATTCTTTTACTCTACACAAATACTGATGACAAGGTCAAGTTAAAAACTTCTGGGCTTGTAAATAAAGCCGCTGCTGTTAAAACAGTGTAAGTAACTTGGCACCAGTGAAAACTGTTTTCTGGTAAATACTCATGCTCTGCCCTAAAAGTGAGGAAATTTTGTGACTGCTGCAGGCCGGGTGTGAAGGGAGGATTTTCAGGCTACCACTGTGAGACAGCAGGTGCTCTCCAGTTGCAGCAGCACAGCTGGACTGCAAAGGGGCTTCCCGGTCATTGGTGAGGGATACAGGGGGCAGTACAGTATGAAATCCAGACAGGCTTCTCTGGCTGACAAGAGACAAAACCAGAGAAGTAATCAATGGTCCCTGGGGACTGCTTCGCCCTGAACTGGAGACACAGATTTGCTGAACCTTTGCTGGAGACTGCAGGCTTATTATCTAGGTTGGTAAAGACACATGGACAAGAAAAAGCAGATCCAGAGGTGTAGATCCCTGAAAGAGAAGAGCAGGCCCTAGTGGTGGAACATCTGCTTTGTATGCCGAAATCTCAGGTTCAATCCCTGGCAGCTCCAGGTAGGGTGGGGATAGGCCCCTGTTTGAAACCCTGGAGAGCTGCTTACCAGTCAGTTTGGACAATACTGAGTTAGATGGATTGTTTGTCTGCCTTGGTATAAAGCAGCTCCCTGTGTCCCTGGGGCTAGAAGAGACTAGATTTAC